GCGCGGGGAGGCGACGAAGCGCCGAGGAGCGGCGCGGGGGCCGCTGGCAACCTGGCCCGCGGGCTCCCCTCCCGCCGGCGTCTTCCCGGCACGGGCGGCGTGCGCTCGTACCTGACCATGACCGCGCACCGGTCCCTCCTGAGCCGCTCCGGCGTCTCCCGCTGAAGGCATCGGCTCCGCGCCGACCTGTCGCGCTGTCTTCCTCGTCCTCCTCTTCCTCGCTGCTGAGGCCGTCGCCTCTCCCCGGAGACCTGCTGGAGTGATGGGCTGCATCGGATCCCGGACTGTGGGTAAGGCGTTGGCGGGGGCGGCGGGAGAGGATCCTCGGGCAGCCGCAGCCGCTGGCTGGTCGCGCCGCGGCCCCCGCCGCCGGGTCGCCCCTCGTAGCCCCCTGTTCGCTGCAGAGGGCCCCTCCAGCGCCATTAGCTGCGCGGCGGCTCCCCTCCTCTCCCGGCGCCGGCGCCCCGCGAGTCACGGGCATGGGCTAGTCGCTGGCCGCTGGCCTAGGGGCTGGCACGCAGGACAAGGCAGTGCGCAGGGCTCCGGGACATGCCCGGCGTGGGGGCGGCGACATCTCCCCGCGTCGGCCGTGGCGGGAGCTTGGGGAACATACAGGTCAGTGCGGTGCCGCCGGGGTGTGGGGTGCGGGGCGTGCCTCCCCAGGCAGAATCAGAGAGCCGGCGGCTCTTTTGCTCGGGAGCAGGTTTATCATTATACGTGTGTACTCATAATGTTGCACGATGCAGATGCCTTCTCTATTCCCCCTTCCCTCTGCCCAGACTTCAATGGAGAATAGCAAATAAAACAGAATCCCTCCCCCCTCACAGAGTCACGGTCTTTTTTTGTTTGTTTTGTTTTTCCTGGGCCACATATATTTTCAGCAGAGGAACGCAAGCCTTTAGCCTGTGTAACGTAGCTTGCTCCTCCTACACACTCACAGATACTAAAAGATCCCCTGATTACTGAGCAGAGGTCTCTACAGGGAAAATCAGCATCCTGTGTCACACTTTCTTTCCCACAAGAGACTTTCCTTCTGTTCATACCGTGCACAGACATGAGTTAAACAGGCATGTGGCATTCAAGGCCAAACAGCCCCTAAGAGAAAAGCACATTTCATTTCATAGAACACCTCCCTTTCTTACGTGCCTTTGCATGAAGCACACAGGCCCTGTGTCATCTGTGAGGAAATGAAACCTCTGAAGGCAAGGAGGAATTGAACCACCTATTCAGACTAACTCTGAGGGACCATGCTAAAGCCTGATGCTGTGATACTTCTCCTTGTTTAAACAGGAAAGCCCTTTGCTGATGGTGAGCACTTCCAGGAACCCTGTTCTCCTGTAGCAGGAAACTTTAAACAAGAGGCTCCAGTTTCTACCTTGAGATTTAATTCCCACATCTAGCCAATGTCTCATGGCTAAGATTCCTGTATCTTCTGTAAAGGCCACATGGCTCAGCTAACTGCATTATATTCCTTAAGATTCTTCGTACTTATCCTGAGAGTCCTAATCTGTGTGCCTGTAGCATGTCAAAACATCTATTGCATCTCCCTCCTGCCTTTTCCAAATCCTCCACACATACATGCATGTCATCTTGGACCAACTGCCAAGGACATGATTATACTGTTAGCTAGCAGATAATCAATGCTGCATCAATATGTGATATTGATTTTAACAGTATTAATGAATGTTAAACTAGCAGCATTAGTTTCTAATCCCTCTCCCCACAGCAATATTAAAAAATAGCAAACACATCTAGAAACACCCACTCTCTGCAATGTAGAATGACACACAGCTTTCATATTTAACCATCCAGATATTTGTTCCTGTGTATGTCAGCATTTTTATAATCTTATGAAATGTGAGTTGCCAAAATGGCTGTGCAATTGAGCTGTTTAAAGTATCATGTGCATATATAAATACTGTGTAGCTATGTGTGCATATAGAGAAATATATATAAAAAAGTATCTATGTATCCATGCATAAAAATGATTATGGGATAGTGATAATGGAAAATTTACCTTCTGTGCACAAATTATACTCCTAAAATATGGCCTTAGTGTTATAGATACTGGACTTTTCCTACTATATCTCCTTTCTACAAGAGATGCTCATTTTAGATAATGAGAGCACAATGGACATAAGGGACCTATTTATACAGTTACCTGATGAATTTTCCTTAAGCTCATGTTATGGGGATTTGCATTAGGGGTTTTGTAAGACAATCTATTTGTCAGGCAGATCTGAATGTAGGAATGGTGCCCGATGCCTGCATTGTGTGAAACCTGTAAGGTTTTGCTTCAGTAGGGGCTTCATGTACTTAGAGTCCTAGAGAAGAGAGTGGTGTCTGAATTTTTCTTGGACTCCTTCACATAAGTAGGTTTGTTCAGAACAGTTCTTGTTGGATGGCATAGAATATGTGTCCCAGCTTCCTGGGAGTTATTGTGAGGATTCTTTAGAAAAACGGGTCTGAAGTGCTTTTAAGTGTAAGGACTGACCTCTAGGAGATAAAAGGATGGCACATTTCTGTTGGTTTTACCTCTGAACTTGTATGTAGCAGATTTTGGGTTCTTTAACTTGAACCCAGAATTCAGATTCTTTAACTTGAAGAAATTAGTACTAGAAAGCTCCTAATCAGTCAGATTTAGTTTATTCACCACATAAGGTCCAATCCAGGATTGTGCCCTGAGCTGGCTGCGAGGCTTTTTCCATTCCAATTTTAAGCAAACCACATGATTTATCCATCTCCTGCAGGGACATTTTGCTATGATCTAGCTAGATGTCAGAGCTAGCACATGTTTAGTGCTATGAATCTTTATATTCTATTTCCTAAATATGTTTTTTCTAGTTATTCCCTCCCTGGGAAAACATGATTGAGGGTCATAATAGAGTAGTTCCACTCTGTATGCATAAAATCAAAATGGAGTCACATAACATCTTTCCGTCTGGGAAAGGACACCAGAAATCACACTGTCAATGATCAGGTTTGGATTTCCTAGGGTATGAGAAAAGATGAAAAGTGATCTTAAAAGACTAAGATGATACCTAGTCACATTCTCTGCACATGCACTGTAGCACACACCAGTGTGCTTTTTGTTACATAGCAAAATAGCAGCTATGCAACTAACCAGAGACCTCCTGGGCATCACAACTGGCCCCTGATTGCACGTAGCAGTCAGGTCTGTTGGTAATAATTACCCTGTAATATTTTCTGGAAAGCTGTGTGATGACCGTCATGTCATCTGGGACTTAATTTAAATGATTGTAGAGGAGACTTTGACTGAAGGTGGTGGACAGTACAGTCTGTAAAATACAGGCAGGATCTTAGCAGATATTTGAGTGCTGACTATGTGCAGTGATCAGCATGATTATTGTCAGTAATTGAATTAACCCATTTTAAGATACTTCAAGCTTGCCTGTACGTCTGCTTGTGTTGTAGTTCCAGTCTGAATGTGTTGCAATTGTAACTTTGACTATAAATTTAGATGTATACTAATATGGGTTGTTCTGACTGGTGTGGCAAGATTTCTCTAATTCCTTGAATGGATTTAAATGAATGGAAAGCTCAAGCTTATTGTGCTCATGTGTGTTCTCAATTTTTCCAGTGGTGACTCTGATTTCTCTGATGTCTTTTCACAGAAGTCTGTAGCAAATGTGTTTTGTGAAGTGACATCACATGCTTGCAAAATATTCATATAAATTGCAACAAAATAGTCTTTGGTGGTTGGGTTGAAAAGAAACCAGAAATGTTAATACTCCACATAAGAAAAAACTTGATAGTGAGGACAGTTGACCACTGCGGCAGGTTTTCCTCAGACATTGTGCATTGTCCATTCTTGGAGATTTACAAGACCAGTTTGGACAAGGTTCTGAGTAACCTGGTCTGACCTCATAGCCGACTCTACTTTGAGCACGAGATTGGACTAAATGTTCTGTAGGTCCCTTCCGTCCTGAGTAATCCTATGACATAAAACCTGAAATGGTTGACTCTCTGAGGCAGCTTTAACTCAGCGCTTCAGTTATGTGATGGTAAGGCATTGTTCTACCAGAGGGCCCCTGGTCCTATGCACATCTTTAATACATGCTTATTATACCTTCCCCTCATTACGCTTTTCCTTTAACTGCATCCATTAGAGTGTGCCACAGACTCCCTCACTGCAGTAAACTCAGCTGTCACCGTAAGTCCTACCCATGTTTGTTTGATTTGGCAGCTGAGCAAAAAGCAGCCCAGGTGATAGCTGGCTTAGGCTCGCTGGCCGTGTCAGACTATCACAGATGTCTATGCAGACAGAAAAGGACTTTTTTTTTTTTTAAATAGTGTCTGGGACACTTTGAATGTGCCAAAACCAGAGACTTAGTTTGCTGGACTCCATTCTACAACAAATACCCAATGGACTGGCAGAGGCCGTGGACTGGAAGAAGCCAGTAGGTTAGGGTATCACCTGCTTTCCATGTGTTCCCTCACTAGCTGTGCTATGCTAAGTGCAAATGAATGGGTTAGTAGGAGAAATGAAACCAAGACCATGTATTTCTATGCCAGCTACTTTAGATTTAACAAAGTAGGAGCAGCGTAGGAGACAACTATGAGAAGGGTAAGCAGCTGGAGAAATGAGTGAATATCCTGTTCACTTTTCTCCCTACTCCCCCAACAGATCTGAAGATATCTGAGGTGACGTCTCGCATGGTAATAAGAGTATGCAGTTGGAATATGAAAAGGTGAGACATACTCTATGTGTATACAGACCAAGGACCCCAGTGTTTTTGTCCTCCCTCCTTCACCTCCAACATATATGTGAGCCAGTGAAGAGAGGAAAGAGCATAGGAGAGGAAAAGGCCAAACCAAAGAAAAATGAATCAACGCATCAGGGAATAATCATTTACTTACAGGCATGTGAGTAAAAGGAGCAAGGAACAGGGCTCAAGGCGTTAACCTGCCTTACACAGACAATTTGGAAAAAGGAGTGGGACTAAATGAAGGGCATCAGGGCATCTTGTTCCTTTCATATTTGAGGAAAGAAGAATAGAGCAGAGGTATGAAGGAATATGTTTTCCACCAGGTCAGCCTGCTTTTAATCTTACAAGTCCTACTTCTTCCCAGTCTGGCCTTCCTTCTTTAGAGCAGTTTCTCAATCTGATCATTTTAAAAACTTATCTAAGTAGCTCTGGGATAAGAGTGAGGACTTAGACAGAAGCTCTCCCTGACCTAGAAGCCAGTTGTCATGAAATGTGTGAAAACTAATCTTTGAGACTGCTTTATCCCCTTTCAGGTTATTGGCTGGTGGTTTCAAAGTTGT